ACATATTTTTATTTATTTATTTATTTATTTATTTTTTATTTTTTTATTTTTTTCAACTTTTTATTTTTTAGGGTTTAGGGTTTAGGGTTTAGGGTTTAGGGTTTAGGGTTTAGGGTTTAGGGTTTAGGGTTTGTATATACCTGTGTAGCTGCGAGTTTTAATTCTTCAATATCTAGACCTCCACCATTACATCCAAAGAAATTCTTCAAGAGATTATCACGATGACGAAGGAAACCCGTATAATATATACATGTCTATATAAATAAATAAATAAATAAATAAATAAATAAATAAATAAATAATAGGATAGTTGGCAAGGAGCAGCAAGACAAGCAGCAGCAGCAGCATTATCAGCATTATCAGCAGCAGGAGCAGCAACACTTCCCGTCCACCCTCAGCATCAATCAAGCAGCATTAGCATCAGCATTAGCATTAGCAGCATTAGCATTAGCATTAGCAGCAGCAGCAGGAGCAGCAGCAGCAGCAGCAGCAGCAGCAGCAGCAGGAGGTCCCTCTTCCGTACCTGTGAGAGTATTTTTGCCTTACAGGATTTAATAAGAAGATATCCTTTATATAAATTTATATTTTTATTAACACATAAATTATCACGAGATCCTAAAATACTTACACGTATACCTCTTGCTGCTCCTGCTGCTGCTCCTGCTCCTGCTGCTGCTGCTGCTGCTGCTGCTGCTGCTGCTGATGGTGCTCCTGCTGCTGATGGTGATGGTGATTGGGGTGGGGTCTCATATTTTATATTTTGTGATAATGGTAATGTCTCAGACTTTATTTGGACTCCTGTACTTTTTACTGCTGCTGCTGCTGCTGCTGCTGCTGCTGTTGCTGTTGCTGCTGTTGCTGTTGCTGTTGCTGCTGTTGCTGTTTCGGACTTTATTTGGGATCCTGCTGCTGCTACTCCTACTCCTCCTTCAGACTTTACTTGTCCTGCTGCACCTTTTACTGTTGTTGTTGTTGCTGCTGCTGCTGCTGCAGGAGCAGCAGCAGCAGCAGCAGCAGCAGGAGCAGCAGGAGGTGGAGCTAGATTACTCCATCCAACAACAGAACTTTTCTTATATCCAGTATGTTTTTGCTGCTGTATTTGCTGCATTTGCTGCATTTGCTGCTGCAGCATATGCTGCTGCTGTAAATATTCATTATTTACCCATGCAGCAGCAAAATGTGTCTTTTTTATTTCCTCTAATACGTGCTGCAGTTGCCCATGAGTCCTTGATGCATATATAATCTTATTAACAACAGGTTTCTGCTGCTGCTGCTGTTGCTGCAGTTGCTGCAGTTGCTGCTGCTGCTGCTGCTTTTGTTGTAGATAAGGATGACCACTATAAGGTGGCATAAGATATGTAGATCTATTGATATGTTTATATTTTAGCAATTGCTGCTGCAGTAGCTGCTGCTGCTGCTGCTGCACAGATAATGTACCCATTAATAGGCATAATGTCTTACCTGTACCTGTAGGACTCTCTAGTAGTGCATGCACACCCTGCAGGCACGACTGCAGCACGACACTCATTAGCTGCTCTTGCTGCTTATATGGTTTATAAGGAAAACATATATCTACACCACATATCTCCCCCCTCCAACCTATTTTGGGGGCCCCGCTAGGGGGGCCCCCAGAAAGGGGGGCCCCATTTGAGGGGGCCCCAGAAAGGGTACCACTTGAACTCGATACTGATACGTTAAAGGTACTAACTGATTGGGGACTTCGGTCTGCAGCAGCAGAACTACTTCCTGCTGCTCCTCCTCCTGTTGTTTTTGTTGCTGTTGCTGCTGCTGCTGCTGCTGAGTGGGAGAAAGGAATGTTGAAGTTGCTGCTGTTGTTTAAACCGTTGTTATTGTTGCTGCTGCTGCTGCCGTTGCTGCTGCCGTTGTTGTTGCTGCTGGTCTGGCGGCGAAGAGCAGCAGCAGCAGCAGCAGATAGGGACCCAGATAGCATTTCAAAAGAATTTCCTGCTGCAGCAAATGGATTATGCTAAAAAGACCAGCAGAAGGATCGGGGGGGCCCCCCCTTCCCATGTACCATGGGGGGCCCCCAGGGAAGGTGACTATATTAGGAGGGGGGCCCCTAAGAAGAAAGGGCATTCAATACAAGAATAAACCCTTTTTTATTTTATTAAAGAAGTTATAACAAAAAACACACAAAAAAGAACAAATAAAGGGAGGATAAGGAAGCCTACACCCTAAAGCCTAAACCCTAAACCCTAAACCCTAAACCCCCGCCGGATAACCACCTTTGTTCCTGTATATAAGACTGGGCTAATTATACACCGCAAAAGAGAGAAAATCTTCTTTTAATTAAATAAAATTAAATTAAAAATAAATTATTTTTTATTTAATTAAAAAAAAAGAAATTAATTATTTAATTTAGTCAAGAGGGAATTACAGAAGGAACCCTCCTAACACCCGGTGGGAGGAGGGTGGTGGGCCCCCCGAAGGGGGCCCCCATGGGGGCCCCCATGCGGCCCCCCTATAAGGGGTATAAAGAGAGGGGAAGAATTGGGTAAAATAAATAAAAGGATTTATAAATAAAAAAGATAATAAAACATTTTATATTTATCCTTATAAGGAGGAGATAAATAATATATTAATACTGTTTATTAGGGGAAAAGGAATAAAATAATAATATACTTATTTATATTTAATTAATTATAATTAAATTAAGGATATAAATTAATTAGTTAATTTATTCATTTATTTAAATAAAGTAAAATTGTATTATAAGGATTAACAGGAAGCAGCAGCAGCAGCAGCAGAAGCAGCAGCAGCACCAATCTGTGCATAAGGTGCAGCAGTAGCAATTTGTGACGAATGCTTTGTAGACCGAAGTCTGCTGCTGTAAGCAGCTGCTGCTGCTGCAACTGCTGCTGCTGCTGCTGCTGCTGCACATGTAGTCACAAGCCCGTTACTTCGAGCTTGTACACCAGCAGCACCAGCAGCAGCAAAAGCAGCAACAGCAGCAGCAGCAGCAACAGCAGCAGCAGCAACAGCAACAAATACAACTCCTCCCCCATACACTCGCCGATTTAGCTCAGTCGGTAGAGCGCCAGCCTTTTAAGCTGGTGGTCGCGGGTTCGAGCCCCGTAGTCGGCTAAATATATTTATTTATTCATTTATTTATTTATTTACTTATTTATTTATTTATTTATTTATTCTCTCCTGTTACTATTAGGTTAATTAATAAGGAGAATTATTAATAACATTTATCTCCTCTTTTATAATTAATTAATTAATTAATTAATTAATTAATTAATTAATTAATTAATTATTCCCTTTTTTCTTAATAAACAGAGGTATAAAGGTTAAGAAAAAAAAAGGAAGGAAAAACAGGAAATAAAAAAAAAAGATAAATTATTATTAATATAATAAAAAAAATAAATAAAAACAAATAATTTTTATTTAAGAAGAATAAATATATTTATTTATTCTTTTTTTTATTTATTTATACTAATATTCATAGTACATCTTTATTATATTTATGTTA